GATCAGCCTGGGCAAAATAGCGAAACCCCATCTCTATAAAAACAAAAATTAGCCAGGTGTGGTGGCATGCACCTTGCTTGAACCCAGGGAGGCAGAGGTTGCAGTGAGCTGAGATAGCCCCTCTGGGTGACAGAACGAGACTCCATCTCAAAAATAATAATAATAACAATATAACTTAGTTGGGCATGGTGGTGTGTGCCTGTAGTTGCAGGTACTCAGGAGGTTGAGGCATGAGAATCACTTGAACTCAGGAGGCAGCGGTTGCAGTGAGCCAAGATTGCACCACTGCACTCCAGCCTGGGTGACAGAGACTCTGTCTCAAAAGAAAAAAAAGATTTTTTTTGCTTGAAGCATTCATTCAGTAATCTTTTACATAAGTTATTATTTTATTTTTTATTTTCTGAGACAGCATCTTGCTCTGTCACCCAGGCTAGAGTGCAGTGGTGCCATCACTGTTCACTGCAGCCTCAACCTCCCAGACTCAAGTGATCCTCCCACCTCAGCCTCCTGAGTAGCTGGAACTACAGGTGTTGCCTGTGGGGGGTCTTGACTACAAGTCCAGGTTCTTTTGTCCAAAGAATTGGACAAAACCCACAAAAGCAAGGAAAGAATGAAGCAATGAAAGCAGAGACTTATTGGAAATGAAAGTACACTTCACAGGTTGGGGGTGCCCGAGCAGCTGCTCAAGAACCCTGGTTACAGAATCTTCTGGGGTCCAGTACCCCTTAGAGGGTCTCCATTGGCCACTTGGTGTACACTCCATGCAAATGAAGTAGTAGCTGTGATCAGTCTGATTGGTTGCAGAAAGCAGCCAATGAGAGGTACTTCCAAGTTTCCATCTGCCACACAGAAAGTGGGGAAGGGTTTGAAAGGGAGTAGCCTCTGATCATTTTGTTACTTAAACGTGGGAAGTTGGGGTTTTCCTTTTGATTTAGTTCTAGGAAGTCAGTGTGAATCGGCCTTCGGTTCCCTGCCTCCTTACCCTGCCCCACAGGCACAGGCCACCATGCCTGGCCTTTTTTTTTTTTTTTTTTTTTTAAGCTTAGAAATGGGATCTCACTATGTTGCCCAGGCTGGTCTTAAACTCCTGGGCTCAAGGAATCCTCCTGCCTTGGCCTCCCAAAGTGCTGAGATTATAGGCATGAGCCACTGTGCCTGGCCTAAATAATTTAAAATAGCCTCTTTCTCAGGCGTTCTTTATTTCTTGGTGCAGAACTGGGGTTCCACTGGAGATTATTCTCCTCTGGTCTGAAGAATTTCTGTTAGTTGGCTGACCATGGTGGCTCACACCTGTAATCCCAGCACCCTGGGAGGCTGAGGTGGGTGGATCACCTGAGGTCAGGAGTTCCAGACCAGCCTAACCAATATTGTGATGCCCCATCTCTACTACAAATACAAAAATTAGGCAGGTATTGTGGTGTGCCCCTGTAATCCCAGCTACGTGGGAGACTGAGACAGGAGAATCACTTGAACCCAGGCAGAGGAAGCAGAGATGGCAGTGAGCTGAGATCATGCCACTGCACCCCAGCCTGGGCGACAAAGTGAAACTCTATCTCAAAAAAAAAGTAATAAAATAACATAATAATTTCTGTTAGTATTTTTTTTTGAAGCCTGGGCCTTCTGCTGATATTTTTCAGCTCTTGTTGATCTGAAAATGTCTTTTCATTACCCTTCCTTAATTTCTTTTTTCTTTTTGTTTAATAGAGACAAGGTCTCACTATGTTGCTAGGCTGGTGTCAAACTCCTGGGCTTGGGTGATCCTCCCACCTTGGCCTCCCAAAGGGCTAGGGTTATAGTAGTGAGCCCTCACTCCTTCCTAGCCAGCAGCATGTGCTGCTCCCTGTATGGCATTTTTTTTCTTTGTTTGTTTTGTTTTTTGAAACAGTGTCTAGCTACGTCACCCAAGCTGGACTGCAGTGATGCCATCTTAGCTCACTGCAACCTCCACCTCCCGGGTTCAAGCAATTCTCCTGCCTCAGCCTCCTGACTAGGTGGGATTACAGGCGCACACCACCATGCCTGACTAGTTTTTGTATTTTTAGTAGAGATGGGGTTTCACCATCTTGGCCAGGCTGGTCTTGAACTCCTGACCTCAAGTTATCCACCTGCCTCAGCCTCCCAAAGTGCTGGGATTACAGGTGTGAGCCACCGCACCTGGCCTGTTTTTTTTTTTTTTTTTTTTTTTTAATGATACACTTCCCATTTGTCATTTCCATAGTTATCTCGATACGTCCTAAAATCCCTCTAATATGGCTGGGCATGGTGGCTTACACCTGTAATCCACGCACTTTGGGAGGCTGAGGCAGGTAGATCACTTGAGGTCAGGAATTTGAGACCAGCCTGGTTAACACGATGAAACCCCGTCTCTACTAAAAATATAAAAATTAGCTGGGCTTGGTGGTACATGCCTGTAATGCCAGCTACTTGGGAGGCTGAGGCAGGAGAATCCCTTGAACTTGGGAGGCAGAGTTTACAGTGAGAAGAGATTGGGCCACTGCACTCCAGCCTGGGCTGAGTGAGACTCTGTCTAAAAAAAAAAAAAAAAAAAAAAAAAAAAGAAAAGAAAAAAGTCCCTCTAATATGTAAGTGAATATTTAATGAAACAATTTTTTTTTCCTTAGGACATCCTGCCAAGGCAGTTTGAAACTGAAGGAATTTGTACTGTAATTATAAACACATATATGGCTGTTAAGACATGTATCGCCAGGCACAATGCCTCACACCTGTAATCCTAGCACTTTGGGAGGCAGAGGCAGGCGGATCACCTGAGGTCAGAAGTTTGAGACCAGCCTGGCAAACATGGCGAAACCCTGTCTCTACTAAAAATACAAAATTAGCCGGGCATGGTGGCACATGCCTGTAATCCCAGCTACTAGGGAGGCGGAGGCAGGAGAATCTCTTGAACTCAGGAGGTGGAGGTTGCATTGTGAGCCGAGATTACACCATTGCACTCCAACTTGGGTAACAAGAGCAAAACTCTGTCTTGAAAAAAGAAAGAAAAGAAAAGAAAAAGGTTTTACACATTGAACAAATAAAAAATGTGTGAACTGCCCCCAGTGTCTTCTGCCTGGGGCCTCCATGCAACAGTTCCTGTTCAGGATGTCCACTTTATTCTGCTCTGTTTAAGTCCAGTCTCCTCTAAGTCTTTCTAGTCACACTAAACTCTTTCTGTACCTAAATTATTATTATTTTTGAGACAGAGTCTGTCTTTGTCACCCAGGCTGGAATGCAGTGGTGCAATCTCAGCTCGCCAAAACCTCTGCCTCCTGCATTCAAGGAATTCTCTTGCCTCAGCCTCCCAAGTAGCTGGGATTACAGGTGCGCGCCACCACGCCTGGCTAATATTTGTATTTTTAGTGGAGATGGAGAGATGGGGATTCACCATGTTGGCCAGGCTGGTCTCTTCAAACCTCAAGTGATCCACCCACCTTGGCCTCCTAAGGTGTTGGGATTACAGGCATGAGCCACCTCACCTGGCGTCTGTACCTAAATCAGTTCACTCTTCTAATTGTTCTTTGCTATTTAACACGCAGCAAATAGAGGAACTCTGGGATGTTTGCTATAACCTGTAATAGAATCTTCTTGTCACCCACCCTGCAGGAGCCACCATGTTGGAAGAAGTGTGACAATTCAGTCCCTCCCCAGCAGAGACTTAAATTGGTGTGATTTGTTGCTATTTCAGTTTTGTGAAGATGCGATTGTTGCCCAAGCCATGGTTTCTAGGGCTGATACTGACATCCCTGTTTAAGAGGCTGTACACGTTTCAGGATCCTGAACCTTGAACATCTCCACAACTGGTTAAGTAGCTGTGAGATACATTTACAGGATTTTTTTCTTTTTAATGGCAGGAGTTTCATTGATTAGTAAACATCTAGACTATTGATCATCTTGTTTTAGAAGGGACCTTATAATTTTTTAAACACTGGCAAAATTCTGTTTATTTTAAAACCTGTTAGTATCAAATTGCTTAAGATATTAACTATTCGTTCATAAGACAGTTTCGTGTATATATATATGTGTATGCATACGTATATATGTTTCGTTTTGTTTTGAGGTAGTGTTTCACTTTTGTAGCCCAGGCTGGAGTGCAATGGCGATATCTCGGCTCACTGCAACCTCTGTCTCCCAGGTTCAAGTGATTCTCCTGCCTCAGCCTCCCGAGTAGCTGGGACTATGGGCGTGCACCACCACGCCTGGCTAATTTTTTTATTTTTGCATTTTTAGTAGAGATGGGGTTTCACCATGTTGGCCAGTCTGGCCACGAAGTGCTGACCTCAAGTGATCTGTCCGCTTGGGCCTCCCAAAGTGTCGGGATTACAGGCGTGAGCCCCGCGCCGGCCCTCGTGTATATTTTTAAACCGTGTGCTGACGACAGTTAAGTGAAAGTGATTCAGAACTTCTGGGTATTTTGCAGGACACCTTGACACGATGACGTGACCGGCTGGCCAGGAAAGACAACCACATCGGGTCTTGGAGCTGCTGGTTCAAAACGAACCTGTCGCCGGTCCCCGCGATCTCAGGCCACGCGGCCCGCGGCCCCTCCGCCACGGTACCGTACTTCGCCGGGAAAAGGTCGCTCGGCGGCCGGGCCTGGGCGCACCGAGCCGCGGCCTATCCGCATCCCGGGATCCATGCCGGGTTCGGGGCCGTCGCGTGCCAGGCGCCCGCTGTGACCTTGGGCCTGGTCCTGCCCGCCTCGTCCAAGAAGCTGCCAGACCCAGCTCAGAACCCCGGGCCCGGGCCCCGCGCCCGCTCCCGCGCCACCCCCAGCGTCAGCCCCGATCCCGCGCGAGCTCCCGACAGTCCGCTCCGGATTTTCCGCGGCGCCCGGAGCCGGGACTGCGTCGGGGCGTCGCCGCCGGACGTGCGGGGCGCTCGGCTCGACGTGTCTTGCCATTGGCCCGCCTCGGTAGCCCCACTGCCGTGCGCTGCCCCTATTGGTCTGCCTGGCCGTCCGTCAGTGCGGGGCGGCCCCGGCGCGCCGGCTCGGTGGCGCGGCCGCGCGTGCTCCCGCCCCTCGCCGCCGCTCCCTCGCTCGCCGGCCGGCGGCCTCGGCTCGGCCCCCTCCCTCAGCTCCCGTGCGCGGCGGCCGACGACCCGCGTGGCCTGGGCCTCGGCCCGCGCCACCGGCGTCCGCACGGAGCGGCCCGGGGGCCCTCACGCAGGCCCATGGCGGCGGCCGCGGCGGCGCTCTCGGGCGCGGGCACGCCACCCGCGGGCGGCGGGCCCGGGGGCGGCGGGTCCCCGCCGGGCGGCTGGGCCGTGGCGCGCTTGGAGGGCCGCGAGTTCGAGTATCTGATGAAGAAGCGCTCGGTGACCATCGGCCGCAACTCGTCGCAGGGCTCGGTGGACGTGAGCATGGGTCACTCGAGCTTCATCTCCCGGCGCCACCTCGAGATCTTCACGCCCCCGGGCGGCGGCGGCGGCGGCCATAGCGGGGCCGCTCCGGAGCCGCCGCCCGCGCAGCCCAGGCCCGACGCCGGCGGCGACTTCTACCTGCGCTGCCTGGGCAAGAACGGCGTGTTCGTGGACGGCGTGTTCCAGAGGCGCGGGGCGCCGCCGCTGCAGCTGCCGCGCGTGTGAGTAGCCTCGGGGCGGGGCGGGTGGGGTCTGCGGCCTGCGGCGCCTGCCGGGACGGGACGGGACCCGCGCCCGGGCTCGGGACCACCCACGGCAGGGACCACCAGCCGAACCCAGACCCCGCCCGTCACCCCGGCTGGATTCCAACCCCCGACCCGCCCCGGCCCTGACCGGCGCCCTCCGAGTACCCCCTGCAGGTGCAGCCCCCCGACCTTCTTCCTGGCGCTGGGGCTGCGGGCGGCTGTGCGCGCGGGTTAGGGTTTCTGGGTTCTGTGCGTGCGGGGACTTTGCCTGCGCTCTTCCTCGCCAGCGGCAGGTCGCGCTCAACAGAAATATTAACCGGTGTGCAGCGGGAGGAACTGCCCCGGGCTAAAATCTGTGTCTTCTAACGGGTAAAGGGTTGTCGCGTTGTTGTTGTTAGTCGTTTTCAGTAGTGAGCTATTTCAAGACTGCGGTGTTTCCATCTCTTTCCCCCGCCTTGTTTTCTGTAGCCTAAAATGGAAAACTCTTCAAGCATGATGGAGTTTCAATCTGTGCTCTGAACCTTAAAATTCAGGGAAAACTGGATACTTTTCACATGACTTTTACAAAAAAGACAGTTGATTAGGAATTATTGTAAGGTCATGTAGAGTGTTAAGTCAGCCTCATAGGGAACTGTCAATCCTGCTGCAAAACAAGTTAGCGTGGTCTTGTGGTTTTGTGAAGTATCATTTACTCTGCTTGAAACACAAACTTGCTCTCTAGGAAATGCTAATTATTTCTTAGGGGTTCGCTTCTAGCTCATTGCAAGTACAGCCTTTGTCCACAAACTGGAATTTTTAACTGCTTTCAGTTGTTGGAGATGCTGGTAAGAGTTGTTGTTTTTCTTCTGGACTTGCGTGCGTGGTGTGTGTGCACGTGCTGTGCTGTTTCTTAGCATGGAAAGGTGTACCAGCACATTCCTTAAACTTTGGTAGTAGCATTTTAAAGAATGTTCTTTTCCTTTTTTTTTAAACGAGTCTTTCTCTGTCGCCCATGCTGGAGTGCAGTGGCGTCATCTCCGCTCACCACAACCTCCGCCTCCTGGGTTCAGACCATTCTCCTGCCTGAGCCTCCAGAGTAGCTGGGATTACAGGCGGGCATCACCATGCTGGCCAGGCTGGTATCAAACTCTTGACCCCGTGATCCACCCACCTCGGCCTCCCAAAATGCTGGGATTACAGGCGTGAGCCAGCTGACCAAGTATGTTATTTTCAAATCAAAATGCTGTTTATGTGTGTTTATACTGTAGACTGTATAAAGTCAGTGGTAGGGGCCTAATGGCTGTTCTATAATCTGACAGTTTGTTTTTTGCAAAATACTGTGTCACAACAAAGGAAGTTATCCATCTGTTGTGAGGATCTTGAGTTTTCGCTTGTTTTTGTTTTTGAGACAGGATCTCTTATGCAGCCTGGAGTGCACTGTTGAAATCATAGCTCACCACAGCCTCAGTGGGCACAAGTGATCCTCTGACTCCAGTGCCCAGGAGTTTGAGGTTGCTGTGAACTGATTGTACCACTGCATTCCAGGATGGGATTACAGGTATGAGCTATGATCGCACCACCCCTCCCAAAGTGCTGGGATTACAGGTGTGAGCCACCACACCTGGCAGTGATTTTGAGTTTTTAAAGAAAATTCTTACCATTCAGCCAGAACCATTTGTGTTGAATTGACTTCTACAAATACCAACATGATAAACATGGAGATAAATTGACCTTTCAGTGAGGGACCAGAATTCAGACCTTTTTTTTTTTTTTTTATGAGACGGAGTCTCCCTTCGTTGCCAGGCTGGAGTACCATGGCGGGATCTCGGCTCACTGCAACCTCCACCTCCTGTATGCAAGTGATTTTTGAGCCTCAGCCTCCCTAGCAGCTGGGATTACAGTTGCACGCCAAGTAGAGACAGGGTTTCACCTTGTTGGCCAGAATGGTCTTTGATCTCCTCACCTCATGATCCGCCTGCTTTGGCCTCCCAAAGTGCTGGGATTACAGGCGTGAGCTACCTTGCCTGGCCAAATTCAGACCTTTTGAAAGAATGAGCCTTGCAGTAGAGCTGAGTAAGAAGGGCAGTGAGATGAAGGCTGGGCCTCCCACTTGTGCTCAGGGTTTTGTGGCCAGTGAGGCTGACATGAATCCTGGACTTCTCATGGGCCTGGGAACCTCTGCCTGTACTGTGTACACAGCGGAATTAATGGCCTTTTTTTACAGAAGGGATTTTAGCATTTGTACAATGTGAATTAAATTACTATCCTAGAGATACTTTAGTACCTCCTTTTTTTGTAGGGCATCGTTTCCAAGGTTTTGGTGTAGGGCAGTAACACACGTTAATGGAATAAATTGTAAAGAATTGGTACCAGTGAAATGCAGAAAAATTGTTTTAAAATCTCTTTTTTTTTTTTTTTTTTGAGACACAGTTTTTTGTTCTTGTTGCTCAGGCTGGGGTGCAGTGGCATGATCTCGGCCCACTGCATCCTCTGTCTCCCAGGTTCAAGTGATTCTCCTGCCTCAGTCTCCTGAGTACCTGGGATTACAGATGTGCACCACACCACCACGCCTGGCTAATTTTTGTATATTTAGTAGAGTTGGGTTTCACCATGTTGGCCAGGCTGGTCTTGAACTCCTGACCTCAGGTGATCTGCTCACTTCAGCCTCCCAAAGTGCTGGGATTACAGGCATGAGCCACTGTGCCCAGCCCTAAAATTTTTTTTTCCTGAATTTAAGCTCTGGTGTTCAGGTTAATGATACAAGTTCTTTTTAAGCTTAAAAATCAAATTAAATATATAAGCTTAGAAGCACATGCAGCTTAGAGTAATTATGTAAAGGCCGAAATATTCTTTTTGTTTTGTTTTGTTTTCTTTTCTTTTCTTTTTTGGGACAGAGCCTCTCTCTGTCTCCCAGGCTGGAGTACAGTGGCGCGATCTCAGCTCACTGCAACACTTGCTTCTCAATTCGACTGATTCTCCTGCCTCAGCCTCCAAGTAGCTGGGATTACAGCTGTGTGCCAACACGCTAGGCTAATTTTTGTATTCTTAGTAGATACAAGGTTTCACTTTGTTGGCCAGGATGGTCTCGATTTCCTGACCTCATGATCCTCTTGCCTCGGCTTCCTGAAATACTGGAATTATAGGTGTGAGCCACTGCACCCCGCAGGGCGGAAATATTCTTAATGCTTATTTCAGATTTGCCTACTGAATTAAACATCACTGTATGTTAGAAAATAATGTAACAACCCATGGTTGGCCTCTTATTTGAACCATAATGATTTTATTCCAATTCCAACTTCAAATTTAATTTACATTTTGAATTTATATTAAAAGTTATCAAAATTTGGAAGAGTATATGAGTAATGTATGTTTAAAGTGTGGCTCATTTCATTGAAATACTAAGTAATGTATTAATTTGGGGGGGGAAGAGGGAAGAATGAGGACTATGATCCTGTCCTTGGCTGCTGAATTTTAATCATTTGGCTAAGATGTGGATCCAAGTACCATTTCCACAGTGGCTGGGGAGCCTTGATCCCAGTGTGGATGGGTGGGGGCTCAGTGTGCATGAGAGTGTCAGAGTGTGTGGTTTTCCGGAAAATAAGTCCTTGATTTTTGGATACACAGTATGCAGGGGTGTGTGTAAAGAAAGGCGACGTTTTCCTTTCTCAGAGCCTCTGAATTACTGGAGTCACAGGCGTTACTGGGATTGAGAGACTGTAGGGTGGGCTCCATGGGGATGTTCTGGGCCACCTGGGCAGGGCTCTTGGAGGTGAGCAGGTGGAGGTAGCCTCACAGGTGTGGCTGGCCCTGGACCCTGGCTCTGGAGAAGCTGGAATTCAGGCTCAAAGGACCTTGGAGCAGATTTAGGAGCAGCTGAAGTGTGAGGTCTGCCTAGGTCTGGTGCGGAGCGTTTTTATTTTGGACAGTGAGAGAATGAAGAATGACCTGTTGGAGGACATGGTGTTTTTTTGTTTGTTTGTTTTTGTTTTTGATAGAGTCTCGCTCTCGCCCAGGCTGGAGTGCCGTAGCGCCATCTTGGCTTACTGCAACCTCTGCCTCCCGGGTTCAAGCAATTCTCATGCCTCAGTCTCCCAAGTAGCTGGGACAACAGGCATGCGCCATCACATCTGGCTAATTTTTTTTTTATTTTTTTAATTGTTTTTTGAGACGGAGTTTCGCTCTTGTTACCCAGGCTGGAGTGCAATGGCGCGATCTCAGCTCACTGCAACCTCTGCCTCCTGGGTTCAGCCAATTCTCCTACCTCAGCTTCCTGAGCAGCTGGGATTACAGGCATGCGCCACCATGCCCAGCTAATTTTTTGTATTTTTAGTAGAGACGGGGTTTCACCATGTTGGCCAGGCTGGTCTTGAACTCCTGACTTTGTGATTCGCCTGCTTTGGCCTCCCAAAGTGCTGGGATTACAGGCGTGAGTTGCTGTGCCTAGCCGAAGACAAGGTTCTTATTTGTTGAAGGGCCTGGTCTGGAGCCTGTGACTGACTAGTAAAGTGTTTTTTAGGAAGATCAATTGGACAGGAATGTTTGGGTTTGTTGTTGCTATTTTTGTTGTCATGGTAACAAACTAAGTATAATTTATGAATAAAAATAGACAACTCTTTAACAGTTTATAGTTTGAAAATGTCAAATGAATTTGACACATTTTGATCAGTAAGATCCCAGAATATCTAATAGTCAAATATAAATAGAAGTTGAATTTGCAGTTGACTACAAGTATTTAATATGATACCTAAAGTTGTGTTTATTTAGGAAAGTGACCCCATGCCAAATGAACTCCCTATCAGTTCTACCTAGTGATAATTCAACACTTTCTTATATGGCATATTGTAATTTGCAGGTTGTGTTTGGTAATGTCACATTTGAAGACTTGCTCATTAAATCAGAGACAGTATCTTCCAAGGTGAAGACTGGAAAGGTGAACAGGCAGCCAGTGGCTTCTGAGGCTTTCCAGGTGGAGACTCCCAAGAAATGAATTGAGGGAA